ACAGCGTGACACATGACTGAAATCAGCATTCTCGTAGCTCAGGTAAACATGTAGTTGTCTTCATTATTACACCTTTTACATGAGCGTTTCTAAATCTGTAAATAACGACATTTTAATTTTTTTTACAGCACAAGATGGTCAGGACTAACTAGATGGAATTTTGTCAACGTGTTTTTTACAGTCCGCCTGAGACAGTTTAGCATAATGTTACGCGGAAGACGTTCCTTTCTAACTTCGTAATTCATAATTTTCAGGCACGTTTTGATGAATTTATGGATTCCTCGCCGTAGAAAAAAAGCTGAGCTAGTTTTCAAAATAGACACTTCTTCAGATATTGATTTTGAACGAGAAAGGAAGTAACCACAAATATGCATAAATTAAGCCATGCGCCCTTTGACCATGGAATGTTACCAAAGTTCATCGAGCTCCTGCAGGTGGAAAACACCAGTCCCCAAAAATGTTTTTCTTGGTTTTGAAACACTAGTCCAAGTGCTAAACACGGATAGTGGTCAGGACTCCAGATTCCATTATCCTTTTGAGAAAAACGTCTTGAAACTACAGCACGCTTGCTTAAATTTGAAATGGGCTGTCTGAGTGGTATTTTTGTTACAACGTAACTCTCAGTTATTGAGTCAGATTTTAGATATTTTGCCATCAATCAATAGAAGCGACGTAAAATTATACAACGTGTCCCTTTTTTGTCATTTGATAAGATGCGTCAAGTTTTAGACCCCTCAGCGAAAAGCTTAAAATTGACTCTGAAATAAACAATTTTCCTAGTACTGGACCGTCCTTGCATATCATCGCTAAATTTTGGCGAAATAGCACTACGAACCAATTAAATCCGATATTTACCTATAGAATAGAGTAATCATCTCACTGTGAAAATTTCAAAGAATCCTGTGGTCCGCCGAAATTCGAGTGGCCGGTTCTTTCGCGGACAGCCTATTAAACTCTTTACGGTGGTCAATTTACGTTTTCAACTCTGTAGTTAACACTAAATTACCCCATTATACTCTCCCACCGACGCAGCACCACACTTTCTATAGAAAATTACCCCCTTTATCCGTTTCAAAATAAGTTGTATTTTTCAAGCAACTCCAAATAAGACAAATAAAAACGTTTCTTTCCGAGCGAGAGATCATTGTAGGAGCCACTGAGACGCAATTAATAAATAAACACTGCGAGCTTTGTGATGGTGATGGTGACAGGCAAGCTCTGCTTGCCGATAGGTCCCTTCGCGCATACCTCACATGAAAATTTCGTAGGAAGCTGTAGTTGTTTTTTTCTCGTGTGATGCTATACATCAGTCAGAATCATAAGTGGCGCAAGCACGACTTGAGGACCAAGCGAAGTATGACCCCCTTTATTAGATAGAAAGAAAACAATGGCAGATGGCAAAAATAACAGTTCACCTCTGGGACTAATGCTTTTTTAAAAGCAGTTTGCATTTTATCGGAAACCATTTTTTTTTTCGAGTCGAAGTGGGCAATTAAAGTTAACTGTGTTGCATTTATGTGCATTATGTTGCGTTTCTCTTCGTTATGCGACTCTGTTAACGGTGGATCATATTTTTGAACACCTGCCACGAGTGAATAGAGCACGTTTTGTTGCGTGATCGCTCAAGGATGTTGACGTTTCTTTAATTAAAAAGCTTATAGCTTGTTTAAATTTTCTGATATTATCTAAATTACAAACACATCTTCGAGTGTGCTCCTTAAGATAATTTGCCCACTGAAACGACTGCGCTCAAGAGTAAGAGAGAAATAGAAAAAAAGTATCCCAGTTGTCCTCTGCAATACAGCAAAGTAAAGTAAGATCATCTCATTTTTCTTGTTAAAGTATTGTTTTATTGATTAGTTTTTCCTTTAAACTCCAAAAATTGAAATAGTTCAGTGACGTCATTGCTCCAACTTCCTTTTTCGACTAATCACTTAAGTCGCACAACTTCGATATATGCCCAAACATTGGCCAATCAAAAGCGTTTCTCGTTTCCACAGAGACATCAGGTTGACATTGCAAAATAAGCCGGAGGAGACTAAAAGTACGCCACTCACATCCTTGATTCAGAGTCGTCTAAATTGAAGAGCTGGATTATTCCTAATGAAGAAATTCTGAGAGTAATTTCTTTTCCATTGACTTACTCAAATTTGAGACCATTCGCCTTCACTGAGATGGTAAGTTTTAATTTTAAACAATGCACCAATGTTTACGGATTTAATTTTTTTCCACAGAATTTTATTTTTTCCTGGCAATACATGGTTATTGTTTTCCTTTCCATATTTGCCTTGTACTTCTCGTAGAAACAAAACCATTGAAATTTATAGCGTCCTTAAGATGTGGTGTGAAGTTTCATAGCCCGACTGTTTAATAATGACATATGCTCCTGCTAAGAGTAAGGAGAGTGGGGGAGGGGGCAGTGAGTAAACCTTGAAAGGATAAAGTATGGGAATTCTTTTGGTTATTTCAAAGATTAAAGAACTTATTTTCAAAATTTGTGGCGAGTGACTCAAAAATTCATGATCTGTTGATCTGTTGTTCTGTTCAGTGGCTACGTAAGTTAAAATCTACCTCCTGCGGAGATTTTGTTCTGTTATTTTTGCTAAAAAATTACAATAACAAGTTTCATGCAAGAATAAATGTCATAGCTCAACGACAAAAATGTAGCAAAAAAAATAGAAGGAAACAAAAGTTTCAAAGTTAAAGATGATAGCTGCGATAGCAAACAATTTCGTGGCAGTAGCGAGACAAGAATAATATTAAGCAAAATTAGGTTTATTCGTGATAAATTATTTACCTTGAACGGAAGTTCTTCGCATGGAACACCGTTTTAATTATAGATGTCATGAAGAGCTGTTTTCTAAAAATTACTCTGTTTTCATCATTTAACAAAGACACTTATCTCTTCCGCATGGTTTCTTTTAATAATCTAAATAAGACCCAATTGCGTGTGAAACCTATCCGCGTATGTGTCATCACATGTTGTGTTCGGCGCATTAAGTTTGCCTGAACGGACACTAATACTGTGTTTATTTCTCAACAGTTTTTCCTGGTCCTAGTTTTCATTCTTTGCCAAGTACAAGCTCGAGGTATTTGATGAATTTTCCTCGCAAGTTTAAAATTCCGAGGATTTACCCTTAAAGTTATGTTATGGTCAATTTTTACAATGAAATCTATTTCTTGGGGATAAAGTTACGATCAAGGTCCGTGCCTTTGAGCTATTGTATAACAGAAACGTGAATGGACCTTTATAGCTTATTGCAAACAAACGAAATAAGCGAAATTTTTAAAGCTCTTCCTAAACTTTTTATTTAAAAAAAAATTCCAAAATTCAATATGCCGCTATTCTTTACTAACTTGTTTTGTAATCTTTTTTTTTTGGACATAAACAATTGGGCACCCATTGTTATTCCTTGTCAATATTTTTCATCAATGTTTTAAGATATGATTCAAAATAGCACCTGCCTTATTCCATATTTTTATTATTACCTGGATTTAAGGTTTTTGTAATGAGAGAAATGTCTGACTTCATCAGAAGAGCGAATTGAATCCATCCCGGCAGTAAAATTGGATGTCTTACAACGGTTCATGGAAGCTGTAAATGTACTTGGTGCATCTATGACATTTCCTAAGAATCGTCTCTTTTGTTCAGTGGCTCTAATTTTTCGAAAAGGGGTAATAAAGGGTATAGACTACTTAAATTTATAAGATATACCTGCAGTTCATACGTCATGGATTAGGCTGCTACTGCTATTTAGGATCATTACAATCGAGTGTAATAAAAGCCCAAGTATGTAATTCAAATGGCAGAAATTTTTTAAAAAATATGTAATCAATAAGCTCAGGAATGGAATTTTTTTTGTTTCGGCGTACCAAAATCACACGTAGAGTTAACGTGCAAACATCGAATGGTGGCTTGGATTGCAGTTCCGAAGTGTAGCATTTCACATTCTTTACCACGTGTCACAATTCCTTAAATATCCTCCCATGCCACTCAGCCCAAGCTAATCAACCTGCAGTACACGAGCGGATTCAAAGCTCTCGCATGAAATCGAGGCACGAATTCAGTCAATCCAAAATGGCGCCAAAACACTGAGATTAAAGCATCTAGAGGAGAAGTGACACAAGTAGTCTCCGATTTGCTAACTTCAAACGTAAAACATCAAAAGTTTAGGTTCAGTTAAAATCATCCACCTAGATGATTCAGACAGATAAAATACTCTTGGATTTCTTGAGACAAAGAAAAAAGGCGCAAAGCAAAACAAGCAGATGAGTGCGTGGCAATCATCATTGAATACTGCACGGTTTTTTAGTTAATTAAGTCAAGATTTTTTTTTATAGCATTGTATACTTTGCTCGTACAAATTATATCAAGTGCAATGTCTAGAGGAAACCCATGATGAAATTTTAAAATTTTTCTGATACCTCTTGCCATTTTCATGCTCAAATGGCGAAATATTTCAATGCCACAGCAATAAGAAAACTACACCTGCACTTCGCACTCGGAAAACTTGAAAGTGTTCTGGCAGACCGTTCGATGCAACTTCGCCATTTTGCCCGGGAGGACATCTCTCATTTTCGATTCCCGTCCCTCATTCGTTTGCCCATTCATCTGTTCATTCATTCACCTATTCATTGATGCATTCGCTTATACATTTACTTATTTTCATCCCTTCATTCATTCCTCAAGTCCAATCGCTGGTTAATTCTTTCATCCTCTTTATGTTCTATTCTGTTTGATTGTTCCTTTTTTCGTGTTCATCAGAAACGGAAATACTTGCAAAGAGTAGCATAAATCCACAATAGAGCTTTGAATCGTTTACAGATCCGTGCTCGAAGGAATCTTGCAAGAATGGTGGAACTTGTTACAGCGGTTCTGAGCGCTGCAGTTATCACTGGGGATCCTCTGGAAATGACTGTCGCTTTGAGGGTAATGTAGAGTTGAGGATCCTTTTCCACAATTATTCATTACATGTGCACTGGAAGTTCTTCACACATAAATGTTTTGCCTTGATTTTACGTGTATTACAGGGTGCAATAGATCTCTTCGTATTCTGAGCGGTGAAATAAAAGATTGGAGGATCACTGTACGACCCTTTCGTTACTACAGATATAAACCCAGTCCTGTGAGCCTGCTTCTTGAAGCGACGGGAGGAGCGGGGGACACTTGGAAACCCTACTGGTTTTATAGAGACCTATGGTTTCAGGTTGAACTCCATAATGGATACACCTGGGTTACTGGGATAGCGACACAAGGAAGGCTGATTGCATACGCGCTGCTTTATTGGGACTGCAGAGTTCGGATGCAGTGGTACACGGAGAGAGGACAAAGGCATGCCAAGGTCAAGGAAATAGCGTGAATCATACTGTAAAATCAAAAGACACAGTATGTTTTCTTGCGTCAGACCCAAAACATTTCTGAGAATCTGTGCAGACCCACAGGTCTCATGGAACAGAAAGAGGGGGGAGGGACTAAACCAACTAGACTATCCTGTTGAATTTTCCATGGTTATGATCAGTTATGGAGACGTGAAGATTAGTTGTTTCGTGGAAGTAACCCGTCTTGGAGATCAGTCTTACTGAAACCCCAAGAAGCTCCTCATATAGGTGATACATTTTCATTCTATAGGAGTTTGATTTGCAGAAATCCACCCAGGTCTAAGTATCCTATACTAGTCGTTTCTAATGGTTTTCGTTTACCCGTTGACGGTGCGAAAATGACCTTTCTGAGGTACATTAATTTAAGTTGTTGATATATGACTTCCAGAGTAGCGAGCATGTCAGTCTTTTTACTCTGCTGGAACAAGAGCAAAGACCTCGTAAGTATTTCAGCTGTTAGATGATTCTTTTTAAGGCCAGAAATAAAGTAAGCATGGTATCTTTCATAATTTCTAGATTTTCACTGGAAATAGACACAAATCTTTTGTTCGCAACAAACTTAAGACACCCATCAGAGCTAGATTCTTCCGTATCTATCCATTGACTTGGAGAGGAATGATAGAAATGAGGATGAAGCTGTATGGTTGTAAAGGTAAGGTGGATGTAAACACTCATTTAAATGACAGGTAGAGAATAGATTGTAATTTCTGATTATCTATATGGATATCGCTGAATTTTTTTTCACTGTTGGCTGATCGTAAGAGGCAAGGTGAACTTATAGTTTTAAGGCTATCCGGTCATCTCGTTCCATGGCCAAATCGTTCCAAGTCAGATTTTCCCACTCAACAGTCATATCATTTCACCAAATAATCAGTTCGTTCCACGCATATAATATATATTTTCTAAACGTGTAAAGATGATTTGAGTACTGAGTAGCAATCAGAACATAGAGGTGCATGAACCAGAACAGGTTTCTCTCGCGATTGATACTGTTTAACCCAAAAGCACTTTACATTTGGCGCGCCAAACACGCAGGCTACGTAGTACTTTATTGAATATCCTTTGTTCTGTGTTGTGGTCAAAAGTCGACAAAGATATACCCTCGCTATTGTGTGAATAGCTCTCACATAGTTCCGTAATACACACTGAAATTAACATACGACGCTCTCACTATTACAAAAATAGTCTATGTTCCGATCGCTACTTTGTACTCAGATTAAAGTTAAATATTTAGAAAATATATATTGTAAGTGTGACCCTCCACGGGATTTCAGGGAATAAGGTGAACGCACGCATACGGCACGCTCGCACTCTAAAGAAAAAGAACTAACTTTTAACACGTTAGCTGCGTGCTAGCTACTTGCCTCATTAACTTCGTAGCCATTGTCTTGCTTCGCATGGTAGAAAAAAAGGAACGTGTTAAGATATTGCTTACAACTTTGCACGATATAACACGATAACCGTGCCAATTTTATGAGACGCCTCTCAAAGTTGCTTTCGATTTGTAAGGGAAGTACGTCCAAAGCTTTAAGGCTTTTTAGCTCAGCGATACACTAAGCTGATACGATACTCAGTATCCAGTGCAACTTCGGTCGCTAAATCGCCAAGCGTAAAGGAATGTCTCGACTTGTTGTCCATAATTTAAGGCTATGAGTTTTTTCCTTCATTTTTAAATTCGTCATTTTCTTGCGAAAAAACGGGCCGAACGAGCAAAGTCCTCTGCTCCTGAAATCGTGAATAAACTTTTGAAGGTAACAAGCACAAGCTTTTTGAAGTAATAAGAGCGAACCTGCGTGATACAAAGCAAATGGCTACTTCGTTGAGGGTAAATTGTGTTCTCACCATGTTAAATTTGTAAACCAACAAGTGCGACAGTCCGCGTGATGCAGTGGTAGCGCTTGCGCTCTTTAAATCGACGGTTCGATTCATGTGCACCACGTGAACGTCATCTTTTTTAATATTCTTTATCTGACGGAGTTTGCAAAACAATTCGACATCTCATATACTTTTTTGCCGTGAATGTTTCCTCTTTTATTACAACTTTCGAATGGGATATAAGATCTTCTTTATTTTCGCCTATATTCTGTAAGTAATATACTTTACAAATACCATCCTCACAATTAAGAAGCTGACAAACACAAGTAACAAAGTGAGCTGGGCTGTACAAGATAAACTAGCGTGTTAAGGAAATAAAGGAACTCGGCGTGTTATAGCGTGCCGTGCGCGTGCGTTCACCTTATTTTCTGATACCCTGTGGAGGGTCACGTATGTGGAATGAACTGACTCTTTTGTGGAACGATCTAACAATTGAGTTGAACAGTCTGACTTGGAAGATGTGACAATTGAACAAAATGACCGTAAATCGTTTCAAGGATAACCCTATTTTTTGTCAGACAGAATTATGTTAGTTTCGAAACTACTTCAGGACAGCATTACTTTCTTTAATAATTATTCTCTATGATTGATTTTGAAAACTCGAGCCATCTTCTCGATGAAAACCAAAACCACTCAGCCATTAAGGAATTTTATTGACATGTTTTCTTGTGGTATTTTTTTTTTACTTTTATCTAACTGGCCGTGGTGTCGTATCTCTAATTTTGAAGCCTTGATTATTATTTTTCTTCCTTATTGTTTTTCTTTGGATTGATTTTCCCAGGCGTATGTTTGTCCATGCCATGTAAGAATGGAGGCAAATGCGTTCCTGATTATATCAACGAGAACTACACATGCGTTTGTCCTGATGGATTTTACGGTGATACCTGCAGATTAGGTAAATAAGTGTTCAATATGCACCATAATATTCATCGAGATGAAGTGGTGGTTAATGCTTGTGAATGGATTGGGTGGAATCCAATTTGGTCTGAAATTAAACGTGCACGCTTTCCTAAAAGAACAGGGCGACCGTGAAGCGGAAATCAACAACGTCTTCTTATCAGTGAATTATAACTATGAAAAAATTGGAGATAGAAAATACAAGTCGGTTAGGTTGTTTTTAAAGATGAAGAAACAATTGACGTTTTCAGAAGAAAATGAAACCAATAATCTCTACAACAGCGCTCCTCGTATAGGTTGTACTACCGGGTTACACAGGCAAGACGCCTACACTATATCCAAATTGTAATGTCGATCACCATCACGTTCAACTCTTTTCTTACGGCTCTGAGATAGAAAATACCCGCTGAAATGAACATCACAGTGTGGCAGAAGGTAGTTGTGCAAAGCTGCGTGTCAATTTGACAAAAATGCAAACGTTGCAAGGTTGATATCAAAATCCAATTCCCTTTTTTGTGTTTAAAAAAGTAAATAATTCATGACTCCAGAATGAATCCTATTTGCCATTTCTCTATTCCATAACTTGTATTTAATTTTACCATTTAACTGACTGTTGGCATTTGTTTCACAGGTGACTTATGCAAGCTTAGTAAACCTTGCTTACATGGAGGCAACTGCTCAGCAGTCAGATCCTGGCCTTATTTCAAGTGCACATGTCCTTCCAATTACACTGGTTTCGACTGTGGATTCGAGATAGGTAAGTATAGTCCAGACACGTAGAAAGCACAAAGAAAAATAAACAATAATTACAAGGGTGAAAGGTGAAAACGAACGCACAAGCAAAAAACGATCAAACAAAACAGATGCAATAGAAAGGTTGTTAAAAATTATACAAAATGATTTCGTTTAAATTGTGCATCGGTTTTTGTAGAGGGATAGTATGAGGTTATCCTGGTATTGAGCGATTTCCAATTTAGTATCGAAAGTAATCCAAGTTTGTTTTTGTTTTGCTTTACTTCGCTCTGAGATTGGTGCAAGGAACTCGCACTACCACCTCAACCAATAAAATACTGAAACCAATCTCAACTTGGTTCCCTCCCCCCCTCCCTCTCCCTTCCCCCTATTTTTTCCCGCACTTTCAGAGGGTTGCTTGTTCTTACAACGAGGTCTCATTGCTTAATGATTAAACTCAATCTTACAACTGCTCCAACATGTAAATCCACTGAACTAGCAATCCTCTTTTCTTTTTACAGGTGATCCGTGCAATCATAACTTTTGTCTTAACAATGGAACTTGTCAGCGTATAGAAGCCTGGCCGTACAGCCAATGTATTTGTGGTTCTGGATACGCTGGTTTTAATTGTGGAACCCACATAGGTACGAAATAGCATAAAACCTCAATTTACAACGGTGGGCCCAATACAATGTGTCTAGTGAGTAACACCCCTACCCCAGCAATAGCTTTTACCACTTTGGTGAAATACCATTGATGTAGCAGGTGTTCCTAACAAGCTATGTACTCGTAGCATTTCTGGACTGACCAGAATTTTGCATGATGTGGACTTGAAACAATACTCTCAGTCCTTTACTCAGGCAGGAATAAAGAAAGAGTGCAAACGTCTTAGTTCATCAAGCTTACAGGGGGAAGGACAGTCGGAAAAAAGCATTTCCTGAGCGTAAACTGATAAAGAGCTAATCATTGTTTTGCTAGAACAAGCTATGAAATACTTGACCAAATTTCTTAGCATATCTTCAGCAATGGTAACTCAGTTAAGGCAGAGAAAAGTCGTTTTCACAACTTTCTTTACCCAAACCATCATAATATTCGACCTTACTATCAAAATCACGTGTCTATTTTCTTTACAGGCGACCCTTGCCCTGACACTTTCTGTCCAAAGGGTTGGAATTGTACGTCCTTAGATTGGCCCGTTGATATTTCGTGTATTTGTACATCAGGAAACTGCAACGTTGAAACAGGTAAACTATATTCCATGATTAACCTCGAAGGGCTTTTATTGGAAGAGTTCTCTAGACACACTAATTTCTCTGAGCAATATTTGTGTCGTGGCATTTCTATTGCATTTATTATTTTCGCATCCTTCTTTCCTATTACCTTCCTACGAGTCTATCACCGAGGAGTCAAAGAAAGACATGTCTAATTCAAGGGTAAATAGAAACAAATGCTTGTTTCACAAAAATCATAATGTGAGTACATCGTGGCTGATCGTGGGGTTTCCAACCACTCTGTGTGATAATATGAGATTATCCTCGTATTGAGCGATTTCCAATTCAGTATCAAAAGTGATCCATGTTTGTTTTTATTTTGCTTTACTTCGCTCTGTGATTGGTGCAAGAAACGCGCGCTACCATCTCAACCAATAAAATGCTGAAACCAATCTCAACTTGGTTCCCTCCCCCCTCCCTCTACCTTCCCCTTATTTTTTCCCGCACTTTCAGAGAGTTGCCTGTTCATACAACGAGGTCTCATTGCTTAATGATTACACTCATTCTTACAACTGCTCCAACATGTAAATCCACTGAACTAGCAATCCTCTTTTCTTTTTACCGGTGATCCGTGCAATCATAACTTTTGTCTTAACAATGGAACTTGTCATCGTATAGAATCCTGGCCGTACAGTCAATGTACTTGTACTTCTGGATACGCTGGTTTTAATTGTGGAACCCGCATAGTTACGAAATAGCATAAAACCTCATTTTAAAACGGTAGGCCCAATACGATGTGTCCTGAGGAACATCCCTTCCCCACCAATACCTTCCACAACTTTAGTGAAATACCACTGAGCTAGCAGGGGTTCCTAACAAGCTATGTACTCGTAGCATTTCTGGACTGACCAGAATTCTGCATAATGTGGACTTGAAACAATACTCTCAGTCCCTTGCTCAGGCAGGAACAAAGAGAGAGTGCAAACGTCTTAATTCATCAAGCTTACAAGGTGATGGAAAGTCGGAAAAAAAAACATTTCCTGAGCGTAAACTGATAAAAAGCTAATCATTGTTTCGCTAGAAAAAGCTATGAAACTCTTGACCAAATTTCTTAGCATATCTTCAACAATGGTAACTCAATTATGACCGAAAAGAGTCGTTTTCACAACTTCCTTTACCCAAACCATCATAGTATACGACCTTACTATCAAAATCACGTGTCCATTTTCTTTTCAGGCGACCGTTGCCCTGACACTTTCTGTCCACAGGGTTGGAAGTGTACGTCCTTACATTGGCCCGTTAATTTTTCGTGTCGTTGTACATCAGGAAACTGCAATGTTTCAACAGGTAAAATATCTTCCATTGTTAACCTCGGAGAGTTTTTACTGGAGGAGTTCTCTAGACACATTAATTTCTCTGAGCAATATTATTTGTGTCGTGGCATTTCTATGGCATTAATTTTTTTTCGCATCCTTCTTTCTTATTACCTTCCTACAAGTCTATCACTGAAGAGCCAAATGAAGAGATGTCTAATTCCATAATATATAGAAACAAACGCTTGTTGCACAAAAATCATAATGTGAGTACATCGTGGCTGATCGTGTAGTTTCCCGCCCCTCTGTGTCTCAGACTGAGAGGTATTCATTAAAACAGAGCTATGTTTGAGTGACTAACAGGAGAAAAAATATACCGAATTCGTACTTCATTGGAAGATGATTCAAATTTAAAATAAAACTATTACTTTGAATACAGACAAGGTAATCTGAATATCGGAGACTTTTATATTTAAAGCAATTAATATATACGAATTTAAGTTTTCAGCGAAGAAACTATTATCAGGTGATCAAATCGTATTCTTGGTAAAGCTGTTTTCCGTGCAATAGACTTTGGGTTATCACAGCTAAGGTTATCACATAAAAAAAGGTAAACATCTTGCGAGGAAGGACTGTGCATGTAAATGATCTCGCGTGTGGGGGACGGTGTTGTCCAAGTCCACATTGGCAAATTGCCTTTGCATCCTACTGACTTAAAACGTGACGCAGTTTTTTCTATGAAACGAACAAAATCCGGTGGCGCAATTAACTTTGATTATAATTCCACTAGGCTCTCTTCTAGTTGTATACGATACCCAAAAGAACACTCTTGACTATGGGACAGTTTAGACCTCAATAATCCTAGTAAGAGATTCAGTTAAAATCTCTTGATCGAAGTAGTGGCAACTGTGTCTGATTTGTACTTAAGGAGGCTCTATAGGGCTTTTGCTCAATGTTGGAGCGCGCGCCAGCGTTTCGTTTTTCTAGAATTTTTTTTAGGTTTTTCAAGCTCGCTAAGAGCTATCAAAAGGCAATAAGCAAGATTCGGACTATCATTTGCTGTATTAAATATTAATGAAATGATTTTCGTGACTAAGCTAAGGCTCCACGAAGGGTAACGTTCGCCAGTGACAATTTGGCTTTGCCTTTGATTTTCTTCAATTTGATTTGGTGAGACCTCACATTTTTCACTATCTGTGAAATATGTCCTACGGATTATTCAAACGCCGAAAAAATAAGGGTTAGAAAGGCAGTGTATTCGCTATTTGTAGTTTTGTGGTTTCTTCCTCTGTCTCAAATTTGGTCCTTTAATTTTTTTTTAATTAACAGGCACTAGAAAGGGCACAAATATGTTTAACGGTCCAGAAAAATTTAGGAAATTCCACAGAACGAAACGCGATTACATTATTCGAAAGATTCCTATTTTCTTTATCGCAAAACACTGCGTAATGGAATAAAACTTCACCAAGATCTATATCTAAGCATGCGTAAACTTTTCAATCTGTCGCTATCTGTCACCTTTTAGCAATCTTTCCCACCGTGTTTTCTTTACGGTTGGACTCTTTTTCAGGTGTAGAGGGCCTGACAATATTACGTTTACAGTGGCCGTAAGCCCTAGATTCCACCACATAAAAATTTTTGGTATTGTGTTTAACTAAGTTGTTCATAACACCAGGGCGATTACATCGAGCTGTCATGTTTGTTTGCATGTTGACATTTTTAAAGCTTGCGCTATGTTCGCACCCAGATCTTGCGCGGTCAAAAAAACAATACAGAGCTTCCTTAAGTTGGAATTTATCTAAAAGCCTCATAAAAAATAAATAATGTGATAAGATACTTTGTATCTTTACATCATAGCATTCAAAAGTTATGCTTTTTTTTCAACAGTTGATGCGTGTTTCGCCAACCCTTGCTTGAATAATGGAACCTGTACACTGAATAATAACTCACTGGGTTTTGAATGTAGCTGCCCTTTAGGGTACATTGGATTTAATTGTGGCTTTCAAGCAGGTGACAAAGGTTTCTTAATTGATTAAATTATGTCCACTGTTCTAGTTTGTATGATTCTATTCAGAGCAAGAGCTCAATCGATCAGTCAGTTGGTTCCGTTTTATGGAATTTATTTTATTAAACTATTGGTCAGTCAGATTGTTTTTCTGTAAGTCAGTTACTTACTCACCCACTTACCCGCTCGTTCCATCACTATCTCATTCGCCCCTCCAGTCTTTCGGTTGGTCGGTCGGTCGGTCGGTCGGTCGGTCGGTCGGTCGGTCGGTCGGTCGGTCGGTCGGTCGGTCAGTCAATCAGTCAGTCATTCAGAGAGTCAATCAAACAACATGTCATGCTATCAATATGTCGGTCGGTCATTGGTATGGCCAGATTGGTTGCTCAGACATTAATGGACTTACAACAAATTAATAAATCAATCAATCGATCTGTCAATTAATCCTTCACTAGATTTACTCACCAAACCTTTTATCTATAAGGTTCCTTTTCGAAAAAATCGTAAATAATGTTGCAAATTGCTTTTCTTACACCATGTTTAAATAAAAAATAGAGGGCATTACAACTTGATAATTTGCGATTTATCCCTTTAAATAAAGAGTTGTCGAAGTATATGGTCCGCAATTAAGTAGTGACATATTTCAACAGGCAATCCGTGTTCAAATAACTCTGAACCTTGCAAAAATGGCGGAAACTGTACGCAGGAGAGTAATATCCTGGGATACACATGCAAATGCACATCGGAGTATATTGGGTTTAACTGTGGCTTTATGAAAGGTGATGCATATTCTAAAAACATATTATATCTTAAAGGATACCTCAACTAATGGAACACCTCGTTGTTGAATTATCTTAAAATATATTTTAGTAAACGAAGAACTTAGTGCGAGAAAAATCGAAACAGATATGAACTGCTTTCAAACTGGAATTCTGTGTGTGTTGCCATGTTGAATCGTATGACGAGTCACGATTGCCACACTCATCCTGATGATCTCACTTGGACTTGATAATAGTTTCGTGAATAGTAATGGAACCGTATGACGTAATATGAGCTAGACTTTAGCCATCCGTCAAAATTCCATGACGTGGATCTCGATATTTTTCTTTTAGAAAAGAAAGCTGTCTCAAAATTTCATTTGCCAGTGAGGTTCTCTTCATTTTGAATCCAACCTGTGTTAAGGCAAGAACTTCAAAACCGCTCCACGCGAAATTTAACCAGTTGGTCCTGCCATTTCTTCTTCACTAACGCTGTGTTTTTACGTCTTCACAGACGATCCTTGTTTTCCTAACCCATGTCGAAACGGTGGAAATTGCTTTAGGGAAGATGGTCTGAAGGATTTCATTTGCAATTGCACCTTTGGATTTATTGGTAAAAGATGTGAGAGCGAGATTGGTAAGTTTGTCTAAGATGTACTTGTACCACTGCGGTGTTAATTATCATTTGGCATCCCGATTGGCCTTGAAAGTCAAGATTAACAAAATCGGACGACCACGAAACAGGAGTCCGCTTTTGTTAATCACGAGTATGATTACAGAAAAAGGTTCTAGGACACGAATTCCGTTTATTAAATTATCAAAACCATTAAAAAAACTTTTGGTTCGTACAACTAATAATCGATCCAGTACTGACCTGGTTTATAAAAAATTTCCAAATTGTCGTAGATGTTTCGGCTTTTTGATTTGGTACTTTACACAAACCTTGAAATCTGATTGATTGTTGAGATTTAGTAAAGCTTTCTTTTAGGTGAAAAAGATGTGATTTAAAACAAAGTCGATTTGACGAGAACCCATCAGGTTGCAAGGATCACCTGTATTTTAAAATGGCCCTACTGTAGGCTTTAACTGTGTCAATAAAATGCTCGAACATCGATGGAAATAAAAACACGTTATTCGTGGCTTAATTCACTGTCTCGGGTTCAAACAATTTAATTTTCACCGCTACGATTAAAAAAGACGTGATCGGAAAGGCCGAGCGGAACCAATTGTAATATACATGTAGCACCTTTCATGGGTGATCAATGTAAACCCTAACATCAGTATGCAAATCCTCCACAATGTTCTCTACGCATTTCTTACAGTAATAAACATGTGTGATCCAGTGGTAAGACTCTAATTAGAAATTACAAGCTAGTCACTCTTGGTGGTTAAGAGGTTAAGGGCTTTTAAGTCATTTAGTCAACTACACTTCCACAATTGGTGAAACTCTTATGAATTAGAAGATGCGAGGATGGAAGGAGAGATATCGTCAATTTGCCTTTAACATCATACTTTGTACTTATGTAGTTCATGGGAATTGGAGTCAATGGACACCATGGCCGAACTGTAACAAGCCGTGTAATAACGGAACACGAACAAGGAGGCGTGCATGTGATAACCCTAGGCCAGCTTTTGGTGGAAAAAGATGCGAAGGGTTAACCTTTGGGTCTGAGCGCTGTAACCAAGAAAAGTGTCCAGGTAGAAGATTTCTCAATCTTTTCTTTTTCTTAGCATGTTAAGTGTTGCTCCCAGAAGCTCAAAGGTCAAACGAGTTGACGAGAAAGTGAATAAAGGTCACTTGTCATCCTAGATTAGAATCCTTTTTCAGCCAAAGTTTCCCTCGAGAGGGCAATTTTGTATCTGTTTTAGTGGCATGTAAGGTTCAGCTGTATTGGTTTCGGTGGTGAGTGTTTCTGTCAACCAATCTAGTTTGAACAGGCAGCCCCACAGCATCAAATATTCATTAAATGTGGAGAACAAAAAAAAACATCTTCTGCTCACTTCTCTTCTCTTTTCAGCCGAAAATGTAAAATACCAGGTTAAGTTAAGAGGTGAAACATGGGAATATTCTCTTGCGGAGGTAGAAAGTACAAAACACGCGGAACTTGCGGATAGAATCAAAAAAGCTGTAAATATATCATTTTTATTATTTCTTTTCGCAATGTTTTGATTTTTCAAATAAGTTGAATTTAATTTTGTTAGCTTTTGATTATATATGGCCCGCCAAAACTGTCTATACTATTTTCTCCTTTAGGTTAAGGACTTTTACCACAAAAGGGATGAAAATGTTAAAGTTGACAAGCTAAAGTTCAAGTAAATCCTTTCTTTTAGATTGATAGTCTATTGTCTCCTCTCACAGCAGAGCAATTCATCACACGATTAATTTACATACACATTGTTTAGGATCGTCAGAATCCATATTTAAAAAGGTTTGACTTTGCATATCTTTAATCGAATCCATCATTTGTTATAGGAAAGGAAGTGTAATTTGTAGTTTTAACGTCACCTACGAGAGCATAGACTCGCTACAGATCGTCTCTTTCCTGGAGGAAATAGCAGGAGGATTACTGGGGGACATTCCAGTTGCGTTAGACAAGATTGAAACCAGTAACGGTATGCATAGCAAAGTTTATCAGCCAGAGTGATTAACAATTATTTGTGTCTGTGATAATGAACGACGCGTGCTTAGATTTAGCGCGCATTTATTAGGGCTTAAGCTACCTGTTCAGTGATGACGTCTGCGATCTGTTACTGAACCATGGCAAAATGGAATCTACGTGTATAATATAATAAGGAAGCTAAAAATTGTTAATGGGGACGTCGTGTATGCGTCTGTCCTCTATATATGTTTATTTCACCTGATCATATAATTCTTGTTTTTATTTTCTCTCCCAGTACCCCAACAAGCTCCTGTGGATTTGGAAGCCAAAAGCTCCAAATCGACGAGTATTGTCATAAAGTGGAGGCAAAATCATTCCTTCCCAACTCTGGGTAATATGATTGTCTACAAAGAAGCTAACAAAAAGTTCAAGACTAACACCATGAAGTCAGTTCCACTCAGTACATCTGAAGCGATGGTGGAGGATTTGAAAAAATTCACAAATTATACCATCCGTGTGTTTGCCTTTTCAAGTAATGGTAATGGGGTGCCAAGTGATGCTGTCACTGTAAGAACTCAAGAAGATGGTAAGTTCCGAAAGATAAGACTATGAAGCACTTTAACATTTCTTTAAGATATATTTTTTTAATGAATGGATTTGATATCTTATAGAGACTAAGAGATCTGCGTATGTGGCTATAGTTTGTTGAGGGTAGCTATTCCTTTTGTTTTTGTTTTTTGGGTTTGTACACTATGATAGACCAACCATTTAAGGGTGTTGCGGACAAGAAAACTCGAGCACACCATGACTTGGGTTGATATTGTAAAATGGCCACTGCAAAGGGTTTAAAAATTGACATTTCGAGCGTTAGCCGTTCCTCAAATTGCTCTGACGAAGGGCTAACGATCGAAATGTCTGCTTTACTACTCTTAATGGTATCCAGTTTGTTCTGGCTTCTTTACGTTATCCTGTATCTATTGTGTCCCAGTGCCAAGTGAGCCACCCTCTGACATTGTTGTCAAATCAACAAGTTCAAGTACAATTCATGTGTCCTGGGGGCCGATCAGCCAAGCTTTCGTACACGGGATACTTATGGGGTACGAAGTTAGTTACGCAAAGGATGACGACTCATCAGCATGGGACAACAAGACAGTTGATGCCAACGCACATGAAACAGTTTTAAGTGACCTGGAATATTTCACACCGTACAAAGTTGTGATCTGCGCGAGAACATCTCAAGGATGTGGAAAAAATGTCTCTCGCAATGCTACCACATTTGGTGATGGTGAGTTGAAGATTTTTTGTTAGAAAATGATCTAGCTACGAATCTACTCTCAATCTCTTGAGACTTTCAATCTCTCTTTAAAACGTTCGGTAGCTGGTGGAAACCTTTCGACCAAATTGGGGTTTATTTAGGTTACTTAAAGAAAAGAAGGTCACGGGGCCCACTAAAAACTGTATTTATCTTATGGCCGACATACAGTCGGTGTGCGATGATCATTTACATTACTAAGAAAATCACTCATCTATGTATGTATCTTTCCATGCACTCTCGTGAGAGAAAACTCCCCAAGGGGCTTTTCACTTATTTAATCGCTTGCTAATCATCGTTTTTCTATGGGTAGAAATTTTCAATTATTGTACTAACATGTTTTGCTTTTGCCTTTACTCTAGTACCCAGTAAGCCTCCACAAAACGTGACAGCTGAGAGATTAAAGGCTGCAGAATCCATCAACGTCACCTGGAATGAAGTGCCGTTTGGTCACGTGAATGGTCTGTTGATGGGATATTCCATAAAGTACCGAAGAGTGAAAACAGCCGAGAAAAATGTAGTTCACTTGGAGGAGACGGCCATAGCAAAATCAACTGATCTCTGGATAGTACTCAATGTTCAAACCTACTCGGTTTATATAATCGAAGTGGCGGCTTTTACTCAAAAGGGCCTGGGGCCTTATAGTGAATATATCTATGGTGGTAGGTATAGGTATAAATAATTCGAAATAGCTTAACGCTGTAATCACTGAGTTCAATGACAATGTACAAAGTGTCCACCATAAAGAGTTTCAAAGCTGAGCGAATGCTTGAATAACTATCCTCTCTGAATTACAGATGTTTGGACTTATCCCCTCCTTAACATGTCATGTCAATATTGAGAAATTCATCATTTTTGAAGACAGGGTGGGGTGGGGGGAGATTTTGGAGGATCACATGATTTTCTGGGGGAATGGTTAGAGTGGACTATAGAACATTGACTGCTAATAAATGCTACTGAACCTTATGGGGAATCAGGTCAATGTTATTATGATAGAAGTAAAGTCTTACGGACCCCACTTCCCTGGCGATGAATAATTATCGGTTCATAACAATTTGATGAATATCTCTCATCCATATTTTTCGTTTACTTTACAGAAACCTGTCGCTGTCCAAAGACTCTTTACACGAACTATTGGTCAACTCCGCCGTATCTAAAAGTGAATCTAAAAGGAAACACTCTGGATGGCATTTTTAGTCACATTGTCACAGATATGATCTATACAGCTTGTGGAGAGTGTCCTGCATACGGTTTCACCGAAATCAACTTGACTTCAAACGGAAATGGACAGCGATCCGGCAAGGAAAGCCTTGTAGACGTTCTTGGTGACATCGATGAAGTTCCACAAATAAGTTTCCCAATCTACGGCAACAGATACGTAACAAGATTTGGGGGCGTTCACCCTTATGTCAACCTTGTGGAGTCCCCTGGGTTGGCTTTTGTCGCCGCCAAGAGGACTCCAGGAGCAGCTGCAAGAAACATTGTAAGCGCTGTGTTTTCGTGCTTTCCACTGGTACTACTGTCTGCATGTATGGCCTTTCTTTCCGGGTTCATTATATGGCTTTTGGTGAGTATATAGTATTTCGCTGTTATTCATTTAAAAAACGAAAGCTTTTTAGGAGTAGAGTTTTGGACTCAACTTCACGCACTTCAAAAGATAATGCTATAATGGTAATAATGATGTAAATATTCTCATGACCTTTTCTGGAAAAAGTATGGATATTACAGGGAGAAATTGCATGTCAATCACCTTTAGGAGTTCAAGGGTTAACTGAGTCTATGAACCGCCCACAAGGAAGTATATCGCTTTCGTGGATTGCACCTCAACAGTGCTGTGTACCTTATAACCTAAGTAGACTTCAAAGTTTTGTTCGTTTTGTTTTGTTTTCTTAATTGAAGTTAAATCATTGGGAATGTTTCTCTCGTCATCGTTCCCTATCTCATTATTCAGGATATGAAGAACAACCCAGATCAGTTTCCAGTCTGTTTTAGCAAAGGTATCGGCGAAGGATTCTGGTGGTCGTTCGTCTCCATGACTACCGTTGGGTAAGCAAACCCTTAACATTTGTTATTTCTGCCGAATCTCTTATCGGTGTTTACTTCTTAGCAGCCATTTTTCGTTATCGTGAACCCAAGCCCCTCCTCTCCTCTCTGTATGTTCACTTGACTGTCTGTCTGTTTTTGTTTTCAGTTATGGAGACCGTTTCCCTCTTCTGTTCCTGCCCGTATTTTTGGTATCGCATGGACCCTCACTGGAATCGTTATTATCTCAATTCTTATTAGTGCGATTGCGTCGGCGCTGACGATTGTCAACGTTCCATACCCAATCAAATTGTACGGTGCAAAGGTGCGTTTCGATTGTAAATACATAATCAGTTTTCTTATACACGCGGCACAGCAGGCTACATGGCATTACTTCATCTTACTTTACTAACTAATTGAAATCTCACGCTGCTTGTCTCTAGTTTTATCTAAAAAACAAAGGAGTGGATTCCATTTCCTTCAGGGACTGTAAATTACGTATGCCGTATATCAGAATCTAATGGGAACTGGAAACTGGTACATGAACTGCATGAGAAGATGTAGCGATCGCATTACTGATGGTCTTGCCACGGAAATAGTTACAGACATAGTTACAGCATTGTTACGGAAATAATAACTCTTCATTGTTACTGGAAAAGACTGTTTTACAGACTTAGCGTAATCGAGCATGCCCTTTTAAAACGGTCAGTAAATATCAGTTCTGATAGTAATTCTTTGAATTTAACTTAGATTGGAGCAATTCAAAACTCCACGGAACATCGAATTGGCACCCTAAAGAATGCAAGAGTAAATGAAGGTAAAACATGAATCCCTAATCCCTACTGGTCATTAGGATATTTTGTGAGTATATCTGGTGGGTTGAAAAAATGGGGGGGCTCCGAAGCCTGCTTGCGAGAACGCGAGTTGCACGCGCGCTTAAAAGCTAACATGCACGAGAGAGATGCCGAAATAAACAGAAGTAACCTAGTCACGAGTCGCTATAGTTTTGCATGTGATTGGCCGCGAGAATGGAGTGTGCTATATTAAATGACCAATTACGAAACAGAGTAGGACAAAATTTAGTAATCCGTAATCCCTTTCGACTCTTATTTAGGAGTTGAAATAACCTGTTAATAGTCCTTCAGATTAGAATTTTAAAATGGGCAAGGCAAAAAAATTTTTTATAATTGTTTTTATCCGCAGAAAAGAACTATAAAAATCTTGAAGAAATTCGTGCAGCGCTCGAAGATGGAGAAATTGAGGGCGCGCTTATAGACACGTACGTTGCTGCAGATCACAAGAGCGAACTTTTCAGTGACAAAATCTATGTGAAGCAGATTTTGGACCAGCCACTTGGTTATGGAGTTGTTCTTTCAGGAGCAGCAGTGAATGTGGAGCAGAGATGTCGGGACTTCATCAACCTGCACATGAGTAATATATTCCACATGATAACCATCTCGACAATGACACTTGATGTAAGTAAAATTCATAGTTGTTACTTTAATATTTTATATTAAAGTTCAATAAAGCGCGCTGTCACTAGCTGAAAGAGAATACTGTATGAGAGCATCGAGCATTGAGCTGAGCTAAAGTTGTCGCGCCATCTGCCAAGCTGTACTATGTCCAACCTTTTCCTGGACTTCTCTCAAGCCTTTTTTTCATTAACTGGAAGTGAAATTTCGGAATAAGTGAGCCGACAAGTAGCGACAGAAGAACCCAACAAAGGTTTGCAAACATGCTAGGTGCCGTAATTTGCGTTATTACAACGTAAGCAGAGACGAAAATCCTCAATGAGAAAGTGAAATGGACAGTCCGAGTTTTGAAGGTTTTCACCCTCCCTACACTTTCTTCGTGCTGTAGCCGCTTCCTGCGTGCTTTTACAACTGCACAGAGCACAATCAAGGCTTCCCTATTTGTTACGTAAAGGCTTAGTTAATGCAACCAATAGTGACTCTTTAAAATGGAGTTGTATTTCCTAGGTGGACTCATTATCAGTGATAAAACCAGGGAGAAGTACGTGGTCCGGACCACAACCCTACCCCCATCAGACCAATGAATGTTTGCAAACTTCTTCCATCACCAGGGTCTTATATTAATGCTCAACCTAAGATATTTTAAATCTAAGGGACAGGCATAATTTCCCGTCAGAGTGGGAAGTGGGCATAGTATTATTTGGATGTGTCACAATAACATTTGCCTGATCCTACCCAAAGGCTCTGTAGTATTCTAGTTATCCCCTACATTGCCGGTCAATTTTCCATAACCCCACTACCCTCCCCTATAGGTTATAAAATCGCTTCTCCTCCCTCTCCCCTTTCTGTTCTGTTAGCGACGACTGATCCCCTCCCTTCCCCCCTGAAAACCGTGCGATCCCCCCAAAACCTCAAGCTCCTTGCAGGTGATCAATAATGGCTGGTCACATATTATACCTGGCCGGTATAATTTTTTTCTTTGACTGTATTTTTTAATTGATTAAAAATACTTTCGTGGTTGTTGTTGTTACTGTCGAGTTTTCCTTTCTGTGCTTATTTCTTGTGGTCTCTCGCAGCCTACTCCTCCAGATGAAAAGGTGGAATCAAGTACAGACTTGTTCGACGGTTCCTCCGTTATGTTCCGCATGGCCTTAGCTTCCTTGTCTGGAATGCTTGGATTAGCAATCATTGCTGGGATAACTTACCACTATCTGATTTTCGTTCCACGCCAAAAGAGAGGTAAGACGTCTTATCTCTTATCTTGAGTGAATATTTTTCAGGAATAAGTACAGGTAAAATCGAAAATTCTATGTATTTCTAAGCATTCTTGTACCCAGATATTTCATGGCCAATCAGCTGTTACACCGTAGGATCTTGGTACGAGATTAATTACAGGCAATCATAGCGCTTTGAAGTTTGGCAGTATTTTTGAAGTATTAATCCGTGTGGTCTAAAGCTCTCTCCTACTATATTTCCAACTTAAATGGTTAAAATCAAAGATTTATCGAGCTACTTATATAAAACGGTCGGAGGTTGCTCAATGAACTCATCTGCATAATCGGCTGTCACGCTAGCGAAATCGGTAAAACTTTAAAGTCACCACGGCGAGGAAAATTGATAAGTGCAGGATGTTTTTATATTTTTCTGCAGCCAAACTTCTTGTTAGAAGAAATAAAGCGGAGTTATCAATGGTCTGGTCTGGAATTGAGCAATATCAACCAAGAAAGAAACAGTCGTTTTGACCAATTTGAGAAAGCTGTCTAACGAGTGTTTTTAAATAAATTATGACGAACCTCTGAATAAACGAACATCAAAATTGAAATACTTTTTATACACCTTACATATCACATAGTCTTAGAATACAAAAGATTTTTTGCTGCATGCGATGTGATACGAGGACCGGGCTTTTCAACTTTTGAAGTTTTCGATGTCGTAAGAGGTCAGAAAAGGGCCTTTGGAAGTTGTTATTATTTAGAGCTCTAAAAATTTTATTGTAATGTATTTCCAGAAACTAATGTGGTTTTATTTACTTGCTACCAAAGATAGTCTATTGGGCAAAGTTTGAGAGAAAACTTTTTTCCGATGCGAAATGCCCTGGACCGCACTTAAAGAGATCGCTACTTAACAATCAGATCTTGGGAGCTTAGTGGTCAAATAATTAAATGTTACAATTGCATTTCTTTATTTTACTGACTATGGCTCCTTTGCAGCAATAGTGTTGACAGGAAGACATTACATTCGCCCCCACTTTTGGCGAGTTTTTGGGGATGGGGTGGGGCAGGCTTTAATAGTTAGGAGCAGCGCGTTTTTTTTTATTCTTTATCGTAAATTATTGTAAGCTCCAACCAGTAATTTTGGACTCATTGATAATCGCCAGTAAATATTCTCAACCTATATGTTTTTTCTTTTTCAGTTGACAGGCTAAAAGCATCTTCATCCCAACTTTCTCTGAAAAAAGCCCTAGTTGCAGAAATGAGAGATTTTGTACGCATTTTTCACTCACAGATGTCCACTCGAATATCTTCAGAGATGGATAAGTGTAAACAAATATTAAGAGACATAAGAGAGGAAAGAAACATTTCTAAACAAGGCGGTGCACTTTTATTAAACAATGTTAAAACTAATCCAATTTACTCAGATGCGTCTGAGGGATGTGATTCCGTTGTGGCACAGCGACCTTTGGTATTCAAATCAGCGAAGAGTATTGAAGAGCTTAACAAACATAACACTTTTGTAAACCGCACTGCTGCCCTAAATTCTTCCGGAGAAAACTTGAGCCTTGAGAGTGACTCTGATAACTGTACGAAATGAAGTAACTTTGTGTTAGGTTACACGAAGACCTCAATAATATAATGACGACAAAGCTCAGATCAGTTGATGGATGAGATGGTGCTCATGTTGCTATGGTAATTTTACAGGGTTTAGGAGATGTTTATAGTGGTGGTCTTTGACAGTCAGGCATTCTATGTTATTTCGATCTTTCACCGTGACGCGACAAGCATTAATAGTATAGATTTATTGAAGCTGTTTAAGTAACTCCAAGAGCATTTGCTTTGAAATAAACGAGACTTATTTCTATTTCTAATCATAATAATTAGGCATTGTATTTATTAGTGATCTTTTGCCGTAAGACGAGAACGATCAACAGTAAAGATTTATTGTAGCTCCATGAATAGCTCCTTGAGCGTTTGCTCTGAAATAAGCGAGACTTTCTATTTGTAATGATTAGGCATTGTATTTATGATTGATCCTTAGCCGTAAGACGACAACGATTAAAAGTAAAGATTAATTGTAGTTCTATGAATAGCTCCTTAAGCATTTGCTTTGAAATAGACAGGACTTATTTATATTTGTAATCACAATAACTGGGCATTGTATTTGTTAGTGATCTTTTGCCGTAAGACGACAACGATTAATAGCAAACATTTTTTGTAGCTCTATGAGTAGCTCCTTAAGCATTTGCTTTGAAATAACAAAGACTTATTTCAATTTGTAATCATAATAATTAAGCATTGTATTTATGAGCGATCTTTTGTCGTAAGACGACAACGATTAAAAGATTAATTGTAGCTTTATAAGTGTGGCTCCTTAAGCATTTGCTTTGAAATAAAGAAAAGCTACATATTACTGGCTTCCATATTTCTGTTTTTAATTATGATAATGTGGCATTCTATTTAATATAATTTTCTGTGCTGCACAAAAAAATCAGGTTAATTGAAACTGTTTCTGTGGCTCCTCGAGCATTGTGAAATTTGAAAATATGCAAGGCAATAAATGACGAAAAATACGCTTTCTCAGTTTTCAAGCCAATTTCGTAGCACGTGCAAGACTGATTGCAAATATGTATATTTATTTCACAAAATTATTTGTAATTCCAATAAAAGACACGCCGGCTGATCCCAAAAAATAATTTCAGGTTTATTGAATACAACACTCATAATCACGTCCTCATTAAAGGAGAAATAACATCTTCCCTTTAACTAACACACATTTCCTCTCCATTATTTAGCTTTCACAAATATCGTTTTTTGGTTTGTAATTGAAAAAAATTAAAATCTTCCTCAGTACCTCACTAAGGAAAGATGGCAGATTTAACTTCAGCGCTATAATGTTTTTTTCTTGTAGTCTTAACATGACGAATATTCAGGTTCTATATCGTCTTCAGAAATTACCATGTTAGGTAGCGTCTGAGAACAAAAGGGTTCCTGACATTTTGAAGAATATCCAGAGAGAAATGAAAAGGATTTTAGCAAAACCCTTTGTGAACTGTGCTCCAGTTCGTTATTTTCATTATTTGAGACAAGTTGGACAACGTGCTTTTGCTTCTCGTACTGTTTCTCATTGGTCCAACTCCGAGGTGTTTGGGTACTAACAACAATACTGCTCTCTGTGTCTCTTTTGGAACTATCTGCAGATCTACGAATTCGCAATTTATATTTCGCTCGCCTTTTTCGGTTCACAACCTCCTGTAGCTCCTTCCTGATAGAGGAAATCTTTTTTAACATGTCCATGTAGAAAGAATTCACGAAAGCTTTCATTTCATCATTAAGAGCCTTCTGGTAACTGAGTTGTTGGTCAGTGATTCTTGCCTCGTCCACTAAATGGAAATAACAAAAATGCTGTGAGAAAATAAGCGTTACGCGAACCCCAACTGCCAACTTCTCATGTAATCCTTAAATCAATGCTGCATAAAAAAAACAACAACAAAAAAAAAACAACAGCAACGACAAAAAACCGCTTACCTCTTTTCCTTCGGGGAACATATATCAAGAAATGATAAGAGAGCCCGCCCAAGATGGCAACTCCTAGGACGGCAAGGAGAGAAACCAAGCTAATACGGAACATTTCAGATGTGTTGTCAAACAATCCCGTACTTTGTTCCATTGCGGCGCTTTCAGCTGGTGCCTGAAAAATGTACATGCAAAAACCTTACCATGTATTCCCGAGATACGTTTAATCCTAAAATTAAATAACAAAAAAAAAAAAAAAAAAAACTGATTTTCACTAAACCTAACTTTGAAACGACTTAAGCTTGGATGAATTTCTTCTCGATTGAGTTCTGCACTCAGAATTTGATATCATGCTTTTTTATTTTTTTTGCATTATCCGTTTCCTTTTTTCGTAAGTAATCAATATATGAGCAGCTAGATCCTATTGTTTTGATTCATTAATAAGCTAACAAAATTGGAACCGTTGTTACTACAAATCACGATCAATATACATCTTGCAAAATTTAGCTTAGATTCTCAAGTTCGTGAGTAGCAAACCGTTTTAATTTAAACCATTTCCTGCTATCCTTTTTTCTTCTTAATACTCTAGCCTTTCTTTCCTTTTTCTATATTTCCAGGTTAATAATATTTATTTAAGGAGATTGTATTTGTTTTTTTGTTTTTTCCTCCATTTTTTTAAAAATTTACACAGCTGTTTTCAACTTCAAGGACATGACATCTGTGGTCTTTGTCAGGGTTGGTTTGGTTTACCACTTCATGAAACGGTGAATCCAAATTAACGTAGCTGTTATGTAATTACTTACATCAAGAGTCTTCGTCATATTCTGGATGATGTGAAAAAATTTCAGTTATGTGCATATTGATATAATCCCGGCATTGTTGCTCGACACCCACAGCCGCTCCAGAAAGAACCACTCCGTACCCAACTGGCCTCTCTAAGATCTCTTTAACATATATTCTGTCATCGAAAAGAGTTTCTTTATGTTCTGCAGCTACGTAAGTGTCTAACAAAGCGCCATCAATTTCACCATCTTCAAGTGCTGTTCGGATTTCATCAACGTTATGGTATTTTTCTGTATGAATGAAAATAAGGAGTAAGCCAAATTAATCTGAGATGCTTGGTGCTAAGAACCTGGCAGTCCAGAATAGTCAGAAGTCAGAGATCGTTTCGGACGACTCCCTCCCCCCGCCTCAGAACTTTGTGTCGTCCAATTATATCTGTAATAAAATCGTGAGTTACAAATCGGACTCCCGCTTTGCGGTCGTGCGATTGGCTACTCGCTTGTATGATTACAGACCGAATTGGATTCCACTTGGCCTTATAAGAAATTTATCAGTTGCCCAAAGTTATCATATTAGTCGTTATAAATCGATCTTACCTCCGTTTACTTTTGCATTCTTAAGAATTCCAAGGCGATATTCCACGGAGTTCTGAATGGCTCCGATCTAAATTGGGAAAAAATGTATCCCTCTAAGTATTTCCCTTTTAGATATAAGCTGGTGAATCAGATCCTTCCTTAGCAACTTGAATGCATTATGTTGCTAAAGTTGTTATCCCTAACCCATCCTGGTGTTTGTAAACCTATCGTTTTGTCTGTGTGTCTGTCTGTCCACCTGATCTTTTGCATTTCTGTCTGTCCCTCAGTTCGTCTCTCTCTACCTGACTGTCTATCTATTTCTCGGTCTGTCTGTCTGTGTACTCTTCTTTCAACCTTCCTGGCAGTGCGAGTGTGCATCTGTCACTAATCTATTTGCATGTATTTCTGTCAAGAGAAGAAGTCATAAAGTATTACTTTGAATCATGCATTATCACCATTTGTTTAGGCATACCTTCGCCCCATAAAGAGTGACAGGTTTATTCACATTGACATATGTCAGTGACGAAGCAATCGCACCAATCAGAATGGAGATAATAACAAGTCCAATTAGGGTCCATATGATACCAGAAACACGGGCAGGGATAGAACGGGGGCAGCGATCTCCATATCTGCAAGGAGTACATGTAAATGACATTTATAAAAGCATTGGTATACACTTAGATACTGAAAAATGTACATTAGAATTGTATACCTGATGATGCATATTTGCCTAAAATAAGCGATATCGTGAAATGATTTACAACATCAAATTACTTTTCTTAAATACCGGATCAATGTAGGAATGGTAATAACGACCATATCTGGCCCAATAAGGCTTCGTTTAAGCGGCCAAGATTTGCCAATAGGTATCAATACTTTTTATAAAAAAAAAAAAAAAAAAAAAATTGGCTATAATCAGCTTACCCAACAGTTGTCATTGAAATAAACGACCACCAAAATCCTTCACCAACACCTTCTATAAAAGCAGGCGGAAATTCATCTGGGTTGAATCTAGAGTCCTAAAGAAGAGGTATATTAAATGTGAGAGAGAAAGATACAATATTTCATGCGAAGAAGTACTTATAGTTTTGGAAACAGTACATTATTTGAGCTTAGGGGATTAATAAGAAAATCACTAAAGGTTCTCCATTCATATTAAAAGATTCTTGGATGGCATAGACAATTACTTACCAAGACCCAAATGATGAATCCAGAAATATAAGCCATACATGCTGACAATATAATCATAGGAATGCATTCTACAACTGCGTTTATCATGTTCTTAGCCGCGGATCCGGGGAGACTCTTTGCAGCAATAAATGCCACCCCAGGGGAATCTACAAGGTTGATATAAGCATAAGCTCCTAGGTATCTTGTGATGTATTTGTTGCCGTAGATCGGAAAGCTTATCTGTGGAACATCATCGATGTCATCAATCACTTCCGAGATACTTTTCTTGCCAGAAGAGTCTCCTTTTCCATTGGTTGCAATCTCGATTATAGTAGAACTACTGTGACCAGGGCAAAGACCACAAGCTGCAAAGATCATATCTGTCACAATTTCGCTGAAAATTCCTTCCATCCTGTTTTCGCCCTTGCTCACTCTCAGATATGGAGACGTTGACCAGAAATTTGTGTACAGAACCTTTGGGCAACGGCAGGATTCTTGTGAAAAGGACCAAATACACTGTCATATAACTTTTCCTTTGATTTTAAAGCGTATTTAGGATCATTTTAACATGAAAGGGTCAAGTGCTCACTCGGGTGATCACTAAGGGCCTCCTTCACGTACTCACGTCTCAAATAGAGAGTTCCTAAACGTCCCTTTCTCTAAAGGGAGAGCTAACGCTTACAACGTCAGCTATTGAAAATCATTACAATGACCAATTTCCATATCAATTGATAAAACCAAATTATGTTATGAAAAGGAAAGTTCGCAATTGGGATCATACCTTTCTTCCAAGCTGCTTATTATTCTTTAAGAGGTGATTCTTGCTTTTACATTGCCATAACTACTCTTAGTGTTTTATCGTTCAGTGCTTAATTTACTGCGTTAAACTAGGCTTCACAAAGTGGATGAAACTTTTAGATCAATATGCATGAACTCATTTTAACCTGTAAACAATAGAATAACACTTTATAACAGCTTGTACTATACTAAATAAAGTTCAAGAATTGTAGAACTCACGGTAGATTCAATTTCATCCTTGAATCTTTTGTACAGCTCACTTTCAGGGTTCGCAAGTTCATCACTCCAGGTTTCAGCCTTAAGTCGCACTTCGAAGTTTACCTCGTCAGCTGAAGACGATAAATAAATAAACGATTAATTAATTATTGATTACTGACTATTAACCTTGTATTACTCACTAAATAACTTACCTGGACAGCTGTCCATATTACAAAACTGCATCTCAGTTGCTTGACCAATACAGTATCTTCCACCAAAAGCTGGTTTAGGATTGTCACACTGACGTTTTCTTGTTTTGTTTCCACCATTACAGGGCCTGTTACAGTTGGGCCATTGAGTCCAAGCACTCCAGTTGCCGTGAACTAGATTAATTAAACCATCGAATCACCAAGTATGTGTATAAGTATTTGTGCGAGAGGCGAGAAATTATTTAGAAAATAACCCCTAAATGGGAACAGAAAATGCAATGAAATAGCAGGAAATTAAGGTGCTTTGACTTGAAAATTACGGTGTTACACCACCACAACAACACCTGTTGACACAAGAGCACCCCGGGAAAACAGCCTTAGTTTTCGAGATCTGAGAACAAATAAATTGTATTATTTCCTGATACATCTCCAGACCATGGAACCAACCTATCGAAGGTACCTTTTACGCAGATACACTGACACATACCTACAGTCAGGGGAGCTGTTAAAGATTTAGAAAATCAATTGACATAACGGCACGTTGCAAAGAGAGACATCACAATAGCGCCATTGTACGAACTCAAGGTACTTCACACGCTGAAAAAAGATCAACCCCGCTTAAGTCTAAGTCTAAGGGCTGAAATAACCGTTACGATATTTATGAGAATGTAAGCTCCAGAATAGGAAATCCAAGTGAAATGTCAAATGACGGAATTAAAGGGTTTAAACGGAGACCAGGCGACTATGCATCTAAGCAAGTCTAGGTATCACTGGGGACGATGTCTTACCTATTTTATTGCCACATGTATTACCAGTATACTCTGAGGTACAGCTGCAGTTGAATCCTTCTGGGTCAACTGTCCTTGAGCAATTGCCATAATTCTCACAAGGATTTGGTATACAAGGATTGTCTGTCGATAGAAGAACTGAAAGGGTTCAAATTGTACAAGATCAAGAAGCAAAACAATGTAGCTCTTAAATATTGCTGAATTCTCGAGCTCTGGTTGAAAAAAATACATAAATTCGAACTTGGGTAGCTCATCGGATCGAGTGGCTCGTGTACCTTTGACACAAATTACAGTCGAACCTGTTAAGAGTGATCTCTTAAAGTTATCCATTCTTATCTCCTGAAATCAATGAAGTAGTGTCGTGACCAAGTTTTTGTACCATAAGAGGTCATACACGGAATAAATACCTGTATTAAGCGGTCAAACGGTATGAAGCAGTCACCCCGCTATTTCCCGTGGTTGACAATTTAATGCAGGTTCAATTGTAGACAAAATGCCAAAGAGGATAAATAAGTATTAGTAGATAAAGAACGCGGACTAGAAGGAGAAACATATCAAACGGACCAGATAGAAGACATCAATTCAATAATCATCATTGAAAAACGCAAGAGTAGACGAAGGTAATATTTAAGTTTCCTTTTTCCTTTGTTAACTTGTTTTTTTTTTCTTTAACCAGAGGGAAATAATTGATCTGCATGTAGTCTGCGTATTTTTCTAGATACATAAACGTGGAAAATAAAAAAATGTTTTGTTTTGCTAGACAGGTCCCCTCGTCCAAAATTGGACATGCCCGTTTTTTTAATAAGTAAGGGGAGGTGTCAAAAAATTGAAAAGCTGACACGACAAGGATAATTTTTAGCTTCATATCATTCACTGTCGACTGTTGACTGGACGTCATAGCAAACAATCCAATTGATATCATTAATATCAAACACATTGATCTTTGCGATGCAAGCTTACGCGGCCGGTTATTTTGAGATTGAAATCTAAGCAAACTCACTTGGAAGAGTAACCTTGCAGCAAAAAAGCACTATTTGAAATACGTGTTGATTAGTAAAGCCGTGAGAAGACTTTTTTCAAAATTATAGGTCTCAACTTACTCATAACTGAATCACAGATAAGAATTATACCAACTTTGAGGACCTCTGTTCAGCGCTGGAGGATTGAAAAGTTGAAGGTGTTCTTTTAGACACTTACATTGCAGCGAAGCACAAAGACGATCTGTTCAACGACAAAATCTTTTTCAAAGAGATTCTGGACAGACCATTTGGTTATAGAGTTTTTCTATCAGGAGCAGCAGGGAATATGGAACAGAGATGTCAAAATTAAATCAGCATGCAAAGAAGCAAAATATTCCATATCATCTAGAACACATCAGAGACGCTTGATGTAAGTGTCTCATTTCCTTAAAAAAGCGCCTTTGTTTCAGCACATGGGGTATTGCAATGGCTTTGGAGGTATTTTTTGGGGGGTTAGAAGAGAAAATTTGGTTTCATTGACGCAAAAAATAAACCAAAGCAATCACAACGTCCAATCAGAGAAAAGGAGGATATCGAAAGAGTCAGTAAGAACGCACAGTAAAAACAATCAAACTGTCTGAATGGCAGGAAAACGCGAGTGACCAATTCATAAAGCCGATTTTATTAGTACTTTACCACGTCTCAACTTCTTGGCTTGCCTGTCTCCTTCTTGCAGCCGCCAATCTTAAGTGAAGTTAGCCAGTCCTTCCTTTCAAACATGCGGGAGCTATCTGGGTTTCTTATCATTCTCATGTATGCTGCCACTTTTCCGGGATCTGCCTTCATGCCAGTTCTCTCTGCCAGATCAGATTTCGTAGACAGATACAGCTTAACTTCACAAGTGAAACGTACGGCTCCACTTCTTGGCTTATGCAGTGCCCAATCAAGCTGCAGGTCACTGCTAGAACTACTTGCTCCGTGCTCGTGCTGTTGTTCGCCAGTAGATTCTAAGTGAGCTCTGTCAATATCGTCTTTGTCAACACTGAGGAATTTCTCCACCCAGTCTCTTTTAAGTCTATCATAAGCTGTATCAAAATTTCGGCGAATGTGGCAGTGCTCGCCAATATCAAGGTGACTCTCTAGTTCACTGCATTTTTTAAAAACCATGTTGCAGCCTGGCTCAGAACCAGCGAAAAGACCATTCGATTATCCACCATCACTATTTGTTGTTGTCTTATGGAGCCGAGCTGCCTTGAGCGGGAAGAAGTTCTCATTTACAACAAGTCCTGTAGGACCCTGAGGCTTAACGATGAAATCTTGGTAAGGAATCAGCCTACCCTGCCCAATACCATAAGCTCTCCATATTCGCATTCCTCCCCCCTCAAACTTGAGGTTGTGAAAGAAATTAAAAGCAATCAAACGAACAAAGAAACAGACCGTTTCTAAAACACACCTTTGGGGTAGCACATGTTGTCCAGGTTCCTTAGGGTACAGTCAATCCTTTTTTTTTGGGAAACGTATTTGGGGCTGTTCTGGTGTACCGGTACACGAGGGAATTCCTATTGTTTTCATATCCATGCATGGAGTTGTGACGCAGTTAGTTAATGTTTCGTTCCTTTGTGTACTGGTACACGAGGACACAACCACGTATTTGCTCTGTATCTTTCTGCAGTCTGTGCAGGTTATTAGTAATTTACTTATTAACGATTTCTGTCAAATCGACACTGGATTTGTTATTTTTAGACAGGAAAAATAGACAATAGGAATGTTAAAACTGGGATGGGGCACTGGGATCGGAACAAATTAAGGCTGGGAGAGAAAGATCCATACCCAACCATATCCATCTACTTTTCCCACCTATTCCCACCGTCCCCTCTTTTCGGGGGCCTCTAAATAACAACCCAGTTTCCCCTCCTTGAACGCTTCAGCAACACTGAAAACCTCTGTTTCTTTCCTCGCTTTATGCTAACTCCCAATATAAGCCAAAGTAATATGTGTTATGGACTCACTCGCTTGTAAAATGTCCAGACGAATACAATGTGATGAGATTGACAATAGTACGTAATGAGAGTGAAACCCAGAGGAACCTACGTTTTAATTTGTCCGTAATGGCTTAAACCAAGCCTTACCAGGAGCGTTTCTCTTCTCGGATTACC